GTTGTCATAGTTTCTGTCAAACTGCTGCAGCGAGGACATGAATTCTAAATGTGTTATTCTAAAAAGACTCTTTTGATTATTTGATGAAATGAGGTAAAAGATATGCATTTCAAAGAAGCGTTTGCATTTCATAAAATGATGAAAGTTGCATCAAGGACAAGGTCATATTTGATATTCTTACCTCAAAGCCAGAACAATCACGATACATACTTTAAGACTCATTTTCTCAACATATGAATACTGACAGAAAAGCTAAAATGTCGTACGCAGATTTCAATCACTCTTACCTGTCTCGAGCAAACTCCCAGCGTGGATCCTCAGGAAGGTCATACTCGGGGATGGGTTCATCGTGCGCCGAGCTCCGACGCGTTGTGATTCGTACCAAAGGTGTACTGGAGTTCATTGAGGAGCTTGAATCTGCAGACACCTATAGAAAAAAAACACTGGCTGATCACCAGAGTCTAGGTTCACTGGCCAAAAGTTCTAAGACATCACTAGAGGATTCTGGGTGCAAGTGAGAATGTTGGAATGGTAAAATGAACTGATGCAGTACATTACTGAAGAGTCTGTCTAGTGGTAGAGATAGTAAAATGGATATTAATATTATCAATAATAATAATAATAATCATAATAAGTCATTGAGTAACCCACACAGACTGCCACAGGAGGCGCCATTATGTACGTAGTTGCAACATAACGCCACACAGGAGGTTCCAGACACTAACACAGATGCTACTGGTCGAGAGTTTAGCATTAGAGTAGTTTCAGTAAATGAATTAACAACCTCAGCTCTCCTCTGACCCCAGATCTCATCCTGCCTCTCTCCGAAAAAGTCTTACCTGGAATTATGGCTCGCCGCAGAATTACCTCCAACTCTTTTTGCTACTTTAGTACAGGGAGGAAAACATGGCTCACATAGAGAACAAATACTTTTTATTCAGTTGCTGAAATTATATTATTTCTAAATGTGTTTTAAGCTTAATTTATTGGTCATTTAAATATTTAAGATTGCAAGAATAAAAACGGTATTATTATGTATTTTTTATTTATATTTGCAGCATGTAAAGAAGTGTGTGGGTCTTTCCTCTAGGGGTGTTAGATGCCTTTAGAACTCTTTATCTACTTTCTGTTACCTGGCGGCGCAGAGGGATCTGCTTGCTCAGCTTGTGAACCGCTGGTTGGCCTCCAAAGTCTGGTTTCTTTGCGGTATTCCTCATGCGACACACCACCACAATGCCGACCATGCAGGCGATGAGGAACACACCGGCGCAGTATATTGCAATCTCTACATAATCTGGAGAGAAAGGCCCTGGGGTTTGCTCAATGGCTGGGGAGAATAACATAGGGAGAAGCAAGACGTCAGGATGTCAGGAAAGGAATGTAAGAAAGACTTTCACCGATCACTGTCGCACATGTATGACACATGGGCACATTCTTCTTTTCAGCGCACACATGCTCTAGTGGTGACTCATATGTGCATATGATTGGCAGAAACTAAACACAAATGATTTTCTGATGATCTTTCTTTATCTCGCAGCCAAATTCTCTTTGAGCAGAAATATTACAATACTCAGTCAACGGAAAATATTCTGCTTCACTTCAGAACACTAACCGAGGAGAATAGTGTCTTTTGTGGTGTGGTAAAAAAGTCTAAACCTCCATTGGAGGAAATGAGCACTTTGCGTGTATCCGCATGTGCATGCATGCTTGTGTACAAGTGCGTGTGCATGTACACAAAGTTCTATAATGCACAGCCCACCACACCAAAAGAAAAGCTGTTGTGGAGCACAGCCAGCCGTGCAGCCTGTTGGCCAGCTGGGGTTGGAGCCACATATAGAACATTTCTCCACTCTATGCCTCATATCTGCTGGTCCAAAAACCATGGAGCACACGCAGAAACCACAGCCCTGATGGCGCCAGTGGAGCACATAGAGAACATCAAGAGCAATAAATATTACATATTACTCCCACAGAGAATGGCTTGCCTGTGATCACTGCGCTGTACTGTTTACCGACCAAACAAAACTATTATCCTCTCCGACCATTAGGAGACGGTTGATGCCGTTTGCCTGTTAAGTTTTGCAGACATTCTCCATCTCGATCATGTGTGTAGCCCAGACTGAACTGGCATGTGCTCTCAAATTGAGCTCTATGTATTTGATCCTTTAGTATGCATAATTACAGACTAGACATACAGCAGTGGTCTAAAATAGGATAAAACAAGTTGAAAAATGAGAACACACACATTGACAAACATTCATATGACTGAGATTTTACAGTGAAAAAGCAGAAGAGTTTTGGCCCTGATAATTGAGAAAGTCAAGTCAACATGAAGCATGACTGTTGAGCTTTATCTTTCGATCTTTATTTCCAGAAGAAATAGTGATCCTAAAATGATAGCAATTATCAGGAACCAGGAAAGGGCTGGAGATTTTGTTCTGCATGCATTAGTGAAATACATGTGAAAAAACAGAGCACTTTGACATGCAGAACCAAAGTGTGGGGTTGAAGGAGGTTCCCCGAGGGGTTTTGTTACGGCAGAAAAACAAAAAAAAAAGGAAGACGAACCCTCCCCCAGCTTCTTTACTCTATAGCTGCTCTGGAATCTTCAGTTTTATCTGAGGGTTATAAAACATCTCCAGCCAGCTACTTTATTGTCTGCAGAGTTTCTGACAGCTGGCCAATCTAGATAAAATTTATAGACTGTATTCTATGCTCTTATGTTACTGTATACTGGCTCAAATGTTGACTGCTGGTTCACAACAATGATCTGATATTTGAGCGCAGCGCTGGTTTGGAGGAATCGTCTTCCACAGAGGTGAGAGAAAATGACACATTCAGTCCAGTTGAGGACAAGAATGAGACAAAATAAAGGAAAGGAGAAACAAAATACAAGTGTATATACCTGGAAGCACCGTCAACCAAGCAGTGTGATAGGAGAGCCCAATAGAATTACCCGCCAAGCATGTATACTCCCCAGCATCTTCAAATGTTACATTGGACAAGTAGAGAACTTCTATCTCCTTATCTGTAGTGTTAACACCTGCGGTCTGGGAGAGGACAAGAGTAGAAACGTAGTGCAGATGAAGAGGAGAGGGTCAAAGACAGGAGTGGAGGAACACCAGACAACAAAACAGAGAAGACAGGTCACAGAGAGAGAGGGAGGGAGGAGAGAAAACAGATAGAGAAAAAAAACCAGTTAGACCCACAACACCAGGAGAAAAACAAGAGGCGCTGGTCGACATCCGTCGTGGAGCTTCCATCTAGAGAAAAAGACTTTTTGCGGCTGAGTAGGAACCAAGACCCAAATAGAAACCAGTACATCACCACAACATAGAAGAATGAAGCACGTAAGCAATAAAAAAAAAAAAAACATGTTTCCCATCACCAACAGAACCTGCTCCAAAAAAGTCCAGGACAAACAAATACAGAGAGCATGGAAACACTGCACTGCCACACCTGACACCATCTTGACACAGCTGGAGCAGAATGAACTGCTGGCTGTGACAAAGTCAGTGTTCAGGTGTGCAGCTTTGACCAGTGCTTCCATGACTGCACCAGTGTCAGCTGTGAGGGGAGAGGCTGAAACACAAGAGGTCTATCATTAGGGAAGGAAGAGGAGTTCTAGGAATCCCAGGAACACCAAGAGACCACCGGTGGGAACACCACACCACAGCACAGCAGGTCAGGAACGAGGCCCAGGAAACCACATCGGGGACTAAGGGGGATTGGGTAGTGGGGTCAGAGGTCTCAGGGGTTACCTGGGATGACAGTCAGCCAGCCTGACTGGTTGGCCTCGCCTATATAATTGGAGACTTTACAGATATACTCTCCAGCATCCTCCTGAGTCACGTTGGTGAGGAGAAGCATCTCGACATCTGAGCTGTTAATGCCTGAACGCTGCAATCCACATATACACATGTTGAACATTTCAGAATGAGATCAATCATAATAAAACTGACAAGCAAGCATAAGCACCGTAGCTTTAAAAAAAAAGTGCATAGAAACTGGACAGAGGCAACAGTGACTGTGTCTCTATGTGGACACGTGGCACTCACACTAGAGTTACTATAAATGGATTTGTGGGAGAAAAAAACCAACAGGAACCACCACCAAAGACAAGTGTGTAAATGACCAATCGCTGCTTGTAGACAGAAACAGAAAGATTAGTTATTATATACAGTGGGAGCTTTGAAATGTACTTAAACTGACTAACCAAGAAAATAAAACAGAAAAAGGAAAAACACTGATTTGATTTGATAGGCTTAAATAAATAAAAACCTAAACAGAAAATACAGTGAAACTTACTTTTAGCACGCGAACATAGGGGTTTCCATCTGGGGCATATCCACTGCCATTCTGAGTGATATGTTTCAGCCACTGGATGTGAGGTTGTGCATCACTGTAGACCTTGCAGACAAAGCGAGCGTCTTCTCCAACGTGAACAGTAGTATTGGCTGGGAGTCCAGCCTGGAGAATGGGCCGGTGAGGTGAGCGTTCTGTGGGGAGTGAGGAATATCATTATTATACAAATGTGTTTCCACTTTGCATACATAAAACCATGTGTTTGTGAAGGGAGATCCCTAAACCTTTGTTGCCTTGCATGTCCTGGAAATACCTTTGGAATTTATTTTTATTTTATTTATTGTTAACTATTACAATGGTTTCCAGAGTAATGAGGGAAATGGGACGGCAGGTCAAATTATTTTAATTATTAGGGAGGGCATTTAATTATGCCAATGGCACACAGAGAATTCAGCAGTCTGAGCTGGGGAACCAGTGACCTTGTTGCTGTAAGGTCTCATGGATAACCACCAGGCTACTGTACACTGTACTTGTGCACTGTTAACTCATGGACCAGTGCATCGCAGCCCTGGCAGGAGGGCTACGTGCTCTTTGTTTACAAACACTTTATGCCGATTCTAACTTTAACTGTGTGCCAGGTTTTGAAGTAAAGCCGTCCATGACACCCCCACATCTCCAGCTATCTGCATTCTTCTACAAGCAAACATTTGGCCAGTGAATCCAAACAGAGCGAGACCTGTTGAACAATACCCTCTTTCAAAACACTACCCAGCCTTCAAAACCACAGCGGAGACCACCAACCCCCACACAGGCAGCCACGCACGCACGCACGCACACACACACACGCACGCACACACACACTAAATGACATCACTCAGCCTATGGCAAACTAGTTCCTTTCCAAAACAAAGCCCTAAGGTAGGTGCAAGTGAATTTATTTTGCGAATGCATATGTAAGGGCGGGGGTGGGTCGCAGGGGGATGGTCAGTGGGTGAAGCTTTGTGATGAAAGACAGAGGCTGGGCTTAGGAAGGAGGCCTGAAACCAGGAGAAAGAAAGAGGAGGTCAAGTTAGAGAAGCACAGAGGATCAACAGATGGAAAGTAGAGAAAAGTGGAGGCAGCGCCCTCATCTGTGTGTCTGCCCGTCGGTCTCCCTCCTCCATCTATCTGAAATCTGTCAGATCAAATGATTACCACAATCCCTTCCTCTCTTTCGAAATTGCCCTCCTCCTTGTGCGCATTCCTAGGGCTAGCCTTGTTTATTGTCTCACTTTCTCTCCCCCACTGTTTCTTCCATCTCCTCCTCTCTCACCGTCCCAACTGCCCCGAAAATCAACCTAGAGGAACTTCTAACTTTTTTAAGTTCAATTAAGACAACTGTATCCAAAGACTTGAACAGATTCTGGTCTCTCGGCTGAAGCTGCTGCAGCGTGGACCAAATGACAGAGTGAGTGTGTGAGGAGAGAATGTAGGCCACATGATGATTATGGAGATACTCAGGAACAATAAAAGTTAGTGCTGCAATTCTCAACTAAATAGAAGGGGGGGGGGGTTGTGTGTGTGCGTGCATGTATGCTGTGTGTGTGTACATAACCAGATGCAACAAAGCAAGTTATTTTTACGGCCCATTGGATACACAAAAACCTGCTTGTGGAGAGAAGGAGGAAGAGCAAAAGGCAGACACAGAAAATGTTCGTCCCGTAGTTGGAAAGACATTTAAAAAAAAAAAAACCCAGAAAAGGCCAAGAGCCCTGGTCATGTTTTTCATGTGCTTTTGCACGCTGTGTCGTGACCCACAAAAATAAGGATTTAGAGTAATTTGCTAGCTGCTGCAGCAGATGAACTCAGGCTAACTGAAGGTCACAGGCAGGTGAAGGAACAGATTTGAACAGGACAACACCTCACGGCTGCATGTGTGCTGCTGATTTAAGCCAAAAGGCCGATATCTGCCTTTAATTTTCATTTAACGTCTTGGTTCTGACTGTGTCCAAGACCAGTTTGAACCAGAAAACATTGGCTTTTCTTTGTTGGAAAGACTGATCCTGCAGGTTAGTTGGGCAAAACGAGACTGATAAGAGCAGCCGGCACCGTTTCTGCTTCTCCTCTGTTCTTTCAGTCTTGGCCTTCCCTCCCTCCATCCACCCACTAAAATGAAGGAAAATTAAGCAAGAGGTTGCATGAGCAGTAACTGTGGAGCCAGACTTGTAGGGGCGGGGGTGGTGGTGGTGGTGGGGGGGTACGGAGGTTTGGTACGGAATTCTGATTCAAGGATCCAGGGATAATAAACTACATGTCCCTTTAAACAAGACTAGATTAATTGATATGAATTAATGAAACCAAACTGGAAAAACACTATAATCTAGAATATTCTAAACTATAAACTAATAATCAAAAGAAAAGTGGATATTCTAGACTAAAGCAATTAATAAACAAGACTAGAATAATCGATAAATGATCAATAGACTAGATGTACTGCAGCTTAAATACAGTCAAACAGAAACAAAATACAAAATGTAAACAAGCGGAAGAGAAGTTAAATACTACTACAGTACTACCAGGCTGTACTATCACAGTACAGTGGGGGGGGGGCTTGGGTGTTCCAGGGAACGCGAACCACGCCGTCAACGCTGCGAACGCTCGTGAACGGTCCTCACTGTCTCATCCCTATTTTCAGAGATACAAGAGCATAATGAAATGGGATATCACTTTTTTTTCAATTCCTGAAAACAAGCCAGTCAGGCATTAAGTCCAAGGCCACATTTCTTTCCCAACCCTCCCTGCCCACGCACGCACACACACACACACACACGCACACTTCTCCTCCAGCCTCGGCGTTGCCCAACACAGAAGTGATAATATTAACTGTGATGCGATCAGAAGTTCGACATCACAGCCTCTCGTTCTCTTCCCCGACTCTACGCAGTTATTTTGAGAAGCAGAAAGCAGAGTGGCAGAAGGAGCCGCACGAGCCGCCCATCCCAGAATCCCTTGCTGCAGCCGCTGCCGCAGCACAGCAGCTGCAGGTGTCCAGGAAACAGGACGCCCGGCAGACGGCCACCTTCAGACAGCAGCCCCCGCCCATGAAGGTACTGCTCCAAACAGGTCTCAGGACTGAGGGTCGGGGGGGTGGGGGGATTAATGAGGTGGGGGCCCACATGGTGACAGGGCGGTTAGTGCTCTTGCCTTACAGCAAGAAGAAAGGTCACAGTGTGGTAACTGTTGGTTAGCAAGTTAGCATGTTCTCAATGTTTGTCTGCGCAGATTCTAAATCAACTGCTGTGATTGGCTGCAGCGCCACCTACCAACGCTATTAAAAAATACATTTAGCAGTAAAAGAGAAATGAAATAAAAACTTCAGACCAAACTAAAGAGTTTGGCTTTTTCCTAACTGTATTCATTTTCTTGTTTTACCTTCGTATGTACAAACAGGAAACCTCCCAGAGACGTGTTAACAAAATAATAAAAAATATATAAATAACTTGGTTTTAAAGTAACGAGCACAGACTTAGAACAACTTCACGACCACAGACAAAACAAATAATTGTTCACTTCTCCCTCCGCAGGCCTGCCTGTCGTGCCACCAGCAGATTCATCGCAACGCTCCCATCTGCCCACTGTGCAAAGCCAAGAGCCGCTCTCGCAACCCGAAGAAACCCAAGAGGAAGCCAGACGAATAGGTTCTCCTCCTGCGCCGTCGGCTGCCGTAGGATTTATTAAAGGGAACTGCTTCGTTACACTGATCAAACATCAGCCGCGTTCACCACCACCAGCAGCGGCTCAGATACTGTATATAAAAAAACAAAAACAAAAAAAAACACGACTCCAACATTGTCTCCCTTCTTACGCAGTACATCGGTCTGAAGCAGGTGGCAGTAAAAACACTTCCTTTTCTTAGTACGTTGGCTGGTTTATATATGTAGCTGTGAGACACCACCCTTAGTTTTTAGTCGGTACCTGCAATAATGCCAACAACACCCCTGATATAATTGCCCCCCCCCGTCCATGTCGCTGTTGTTAAATGCCCTAGATATCGTACTGTAACCTCTTATTTCTAATGCATGGCTTTTATAAACGGTGTGTATTTTTTTGTGCCAATATTAAACTCTAGGTTGAACGTCTTCAGTTGAACATAATAACAGTGTTGTTTTAATGTTTACATGAGTTCCGGTGCGCGTGTGTGTGTATGTATGTATGTGTGTGTGTGTAACTTTAATACAGTGATAAGAAAATAAATGGCTGTTTTGTACTAACCTTGTTACCGTGTTGTTGTGGTTATGCCTAGGACAAAGTCTGAACACTGGGTGTCGGGCGCCAACGTAAACAGCTGCAGCTGAGTGGCGGGGGGGAGGGTGAGGGGGGGCGACCATGGGCTCCGCCGTCAGAGCGCCGATCGGTGGTTAGTGGGCTAATTGTTGGGAGTTTTAGTGCACGTGTGTGAAATAAGCAGAGCGAAAATGTCTGATTTCACAGAAACAATTTCCCTTTATGATATTTTTTACGGTGCCCATCATGTCTGCAGCTATCTGTCTGGAAAGGGACAGCAAGGTCTTGCTAAATGAGTTCCTGTAGCGCTTTTGTCAGGGTGACCCCTCATTTCATCTGTTGCCAGGGCAACTCCACGTTCCTCAGCGGTTGCCAAGGCAACCCCAGGTTGCTGTGACCCGCATATCTTCACCAAGTGGTTCCTCCCAAATCTAGTCAGGGGCATTAGGTGACTTTTTTTTCTTTTTGGAAATTCTGCACAAACCCTATCCGCCTCCTAACACCGTGGAAATGTGCTTCGGAAAATAATCTTCTCGGTGAAAGTGGCATTAACGCGTGTGTGACGGGGGAAATCTAGGAGATCTGTTGAAGTCTCTCACTTTGTGGCTCGGCTGAGTGTTTAGTCTGAACTCCGCTGTTTTCATCTGCAGTTGTGTCTTCTTCCTCCAGATAAAAGTTCTCAAGGCCACAGACGCCTGTTCCTGCTCACACACTCTGCACACAGCGGGATCATGGAGCTCCACATCTGCAGCCTGCCACGGAGGACACACACACACACACACACACACGCACGGTGCAGAAATTAATGTGTTTTTTTTCTAACGTTAATTACACTCATATGGTAAAAATGAGTCACGCAGGTTCGGCTCCTCACCCGCGCAATCTCCTCCCTCAACCGTCTGAGCCTCAGCGTGGAGATGAGTTGAAGGGGAACGGCCTGAACCTCCAGACCTCGACACAGCAAGTCGGTGGAGGGTTTGAGTCCGCCCTGACGTGTACTGTGGGCCGGGCGAAGCTTCCTGTCTGTGTCGCCCTCGGCCTCCGTCCTCACCCTCCCTCTGCCTCTGCCCACGGCTGTTGTCTTCTCCCCCGTCGCCTCATCAGGCTGCTGCTGCTCCTGCTGCCGTTTGTGTCGGAGACGGGAAATCATCAACCTGCAGAAACGTGCCAGGGCCTCCTCCTCCTCCTCCATTTTACAGGAGCTACACCTCAGTGTTGTTCTACTTTTTTTTTATTCAGTTCAACGGTAACATGAAGACACGGAGTGTAATTCACTCCGTAAACTGTAGTCGTTAATTAAACAGTAGTTTTTCTTTACGGACAGAATAAAGGACAAAATAAACTGAAAACACAGAATTTTTGTTTCAGTCTCTTAAGTAGAAACTATATCTTTAAAGTACGGCAAAAATAAAAATCTGAGAAAATGGTTCTCCCTGTTTGTACTGCGTCTTCTTTTACTGTGGACCGACACCTACTTTTCCTGCGTTTGGTGCATCGCTACTGCCCTCTACTGGTTCACAATCGGTAGTGAAGGAGTCGCTTGTGCGATCACAAATGTACTGTCGTTTTTACTACTATTACTAACCAGCGTTAGCAAAATAAAACATGAAAGTAATATCGACGACGTAACTAAAAGGTAGCGATCAACTCTCAGTGTTTAATAAACTTTATAACCTTTATTATAAATATTTATTTATAAATATTTGATTGTAGCTGATGTGCTAATGTTAAAGCTAAAGTTTGTTTGGTTCAGTTACCTGGAGATGCTAACTCGCTATGAAAAACAATTATTAACATTTTTAATAGTAAAAATGGATTTAGGAGTTTTTTAGACAACACAGTTTGTTTTAACCTAACTTTAATTTATTTTTTTAAATTTTCAAAAATAATTTTTGCTCGCTATGAAAAACAATTATTAACATTATTAATAGTAAAAATGGATTTAGGATTTTTTTTTGACAACACATTTTGTTTAAACCTAACTTTAATTTTTTTTAATTTTCAAAAATATTTTTTTAATCATTTTTAGATTTATTAAACTGTATTGCTTTTTACTACATGTAAATCTATATATACAGTATGATCTATTGTTTCTTTATATTTATATACTTAATTATTATTTTATTATTAATATTATTTAGCTCTTTGAGTTTTTATTTAGCGTGTAAAAGCAATGTAACAGTTAATTAGCGCCAAGCTAACGCAGGCTTTTAACACAGTCTCCCTCGAAAACTTTGAAAATTTTACGCGGGTATTTCTCTGTTTGAGGGACTAATATTTGCAGAAAATAATTAATTTTTTGCATCCCAGTCTGAGTCACTGAAGTATCAGTGTTGAACTGATGCTGTAAGAACTGTGTCACTTCTTACAACATCATCAGTTGACCTTCGCTCCTCTCTGTTTTGTGTATTTGAACAATTCTAGGAATCCGGCCTCCGGAACCATTTGCTACTGGCCCCTGCCATGATGCCCCGTGCACAGGGGGCAGTACATGGGTGGGTTTGGCAGAGGAACAGCTGCCGGGTCTGCTCCTCCACCGCGGCATCTGACAGTCACGCAGCTGACACTTACAGAAATGGCTGCCGTGGTGTGAATCAGGGAGACGGGGTGATAACAGAACACATAAGTTCATTTCCCATGGATGAGTCGGTGTCAACGTCCCACTGGGAAACATCGACACTGAAGGCACCACGGCTGGTGTCTAAACCCTCTGACGTGTTGGTTTGCTTCCTCCTGACAATCAGTGACAGCAGACAGAGTTCCACTTCTATCACCTTTCTAATTATAAACCTGAGCTTCCACTCTCCAAGAATGGAAGTTTAGCCATGCAAGTTGTGGCCTAAATTTAGGCCCCCAGACTCCATACACGAAAATAAACACACAGGCACGCACACACACACAGACAACACACTGCACTTTTCACAGCTCCTGTAGGAGCATCACACTCTCCTCTCCTACCTTCTTACGCTGCCTCTCATGTGATTTGTAATAGAATTTTTTTTTCCCTCTACAATTTTCAAATTAGTATTTTTGGAACTAACAGCAGCCGACACCAAGGTGAGGTAAGTGTCTGGTTAGGCACGGTTCTTGTTGCTGTTGCTGCTGTAGACACTCCTGAGAACTTTGTTTCCACTCAGCAAAGTCTCGGGACAAGGAGGCGGAAAGGATTAAAAGCATTACGTTAACGTTAAGAACAAGTGAACGACTGGAGCGAGCGAAATGTCCGTCGATTAAATTATGACTTGTTTGTTTTGTCACTGTTTTCAAAAACCAAAGACCAAGTCTGAATATATCAAATATAACCAAAACTGAGTCCTAGCATCGTAACAACGTAGCCGGAGTAAACAGTTCCACGTTCCAACCGACCTGCGGGTTTAATTTCACTAAACTGATGTAAAAACTTTTATTAATTTACTGTGTATAATTTGCCTTTGTGTGTTTAAGATACTCGTGTTTGTCTTTCTTCAATTCCTGCAGTTATATCAGTGTTTTGTTCAACTAAACACAGATCACTTTAGACTTCAAAATTCAAGGATGAAAATGTAAACTGAATATAAACCCGTGGAGCACTGAGATCTGCACTCACTCATTTGTTTTATTACTTTAATTCCATCTTCCATCTCTATTTTTTTTCTTCAGTTAGCATCGAGTTCTGTCGTGTATAAAATGTGCTTTAGAAAAACCGCTGTCATTTCTGATCCTGTTTCTGATCGATTTCCACCGAATATATTCTGTGTTTTTATTAGTACCAGTATCTGCATCAGTTTTTAGTTTACTATGATTTTCTCGCGTTAGTAATATCATGATATTTCATAGCAAAATATATAAAAAACAACTTCAGCTCATCCTGAGAAGTTTAGAAGATAAATTTATCTTCAATGTATCGTGGACTGTGTTTCAAATCTGTTCAACTGTCGCTGCTGGAAAACCCTTTAGTCTTAGTAAGTCAGCCCACTCCAGTCTAACCCAGTCTAATCTAGTCCAGTCCAGTCCAGTCGTCCTCTTCTGACCATCCTACATTAGAACCTGGACCACCTCAGAACCTCCTCAGATATTCCATATTAAATGTGTAACGTACCTGTGGCTCACCTCCTCCTCCTCTTCCTCTTCCTCCCTGACAGATGATTGGACAGTGAGTTGCTGTAGCCCGTGTTGAACTATGGTCCTGGTCGGAGCGGTCAACGTCAACATGAGTCTGATGGACATCTCCAAGATCTTCTCCCTGCTGCAGCCTAAGGAGGGGGACGAGGACGGGGAGCAGAGCCAGGCCTTGAACAACGCCGTGAGCAGCGACGACGCCGCCCTGCTCTCTGAGCTCCTGTCCCGGGAGGACTACAGGAAGTCCATCAACGCTCGCAGTGGCTGGGGGGTCCCGGTCACCCCCCTGCGTACGGCAGCAGCTCAGGGTCATCTGAGGTGCTTGGAGATCCTGTTGGAACATGGAGCAGAGGTGAGGGGTCAGATCTGGAGGAGGAGGAGTTAGTGAGATAGTACTGGTACTGGTACTGGTACTGGTACTGGTATTACACTGGTACCTGCTGTTTTTGGTTTGTTCTCTTGCCTTACACCGAGATGGTCACCAGTTTGATACCTTAGGTGTGAATGTGAGTGTGAATGGTTGTCGTGATGCACTGGTGAGGGCCACCTGGTGGCCGTAAGGACAGGCTGCGACCTTTTCCGTGACCCTGAGCAGACGAAGCAGCAGAAGAAAAATGAGTTTAACCCTCGACAGACTTGAAGCATCTGATAGTCTGACATTTTTCAATAAAAAAACTAAATCTGACTCAGAAGAGAAGGAACTTTAGATCTAAACAACAACGTTACCATCGACTCACTGGGACCATGTGACTGGTCCAACCATCTGCTGTGTTTCCCTCCAGGTGGACTGTCTGGACGTCAAGGCCCAGACGCCTCTGTTCACGGCCGTCAGTGGGAAACATCTGGACTGTGTGCTGGCTCTGCTGAAGGCGGGAGCCAATCCCAACGGCAGCCCGTACAACAACTGCTCCCCGGTGATGACCGCCGCTCGAGAAGGCGACGTGGACGTGCTGAGGGAGCTGCTGCGGTACGGGGCCGAGGTGGACGTCAGACCCAAGGTCCCCGAGTGGGCCTCCGGTGGCACGGCCTGCGGGGGCCCGCTTTACATCTCAGCCGTTTACGGACATCTGGACTGCTTCAAACTGCTCCTCCTGCAGGGCGCCAACCCGAACTACAACTGCACCGACCAGAGGATGCTGGCCAGGATCAAGCAGCCAAAGACAGTCCTGGAGGTGTGTCTCCGCTACGGCTGCGGCGTGGAGTACATCCAGCTTCTCATAGACTTTGGAGCGGATGTTTATCTGCCGACGCTGATCATCGACAAGACCACAAAACAGAACGAGGCTCTGGTGCTGCTGCTGAAGGAGCGAGGTGAGGCGCTGACGTTCAGACACGTCACAAACCTCTGACCGCAGCTGCTGACGTTCTCTTATACTGTTCTCTGGTTTCTTTTTCTTCCTAGTTTGTCCCAAAACGCTGATGTCACAGAGCCGCCTGGTCATCCGAGGTCACATCCCGTCCACTGACAAAGACCCTGCCATCCAGAGCTTGGACATTCCTCAGATCCTGAGGAACTACCTGAAGCACGACACCTGTGAACTGACACTGTGACACTCCAGAACTGAACCAGGGCTCTGACCACCTGTGACGGAACAATCCAGTTTGAACTGGTCAACTGTCTTTCATTATTCAGTGTTGTGTTTGTGGGTGGTTGGTTGGGGGGGCGGGGAGGGGTGCAGAGTAAGTTAACATTTCTTTATGGTCCAGAAAATAAAGTTTTTAGTCATATTTTTTAAAGATGATTTATCCTGATTACTCATTAATTTAATTAAAAAAACAACAACAAAAAACAAACTTAGGAAGGTGTATTACCACCGACGAACACTAGAGACCACACTTGGTCAAAGCTCGAGGATTCTTATTGGCTCCTTTATCCTTTACCCACCGTCGGTCAGACCTCACACACAAACACGCATTTAAAAATAAACATTTTATGGTTAAGTTTAAAAAAATGTTTAAAATTAATCAAAAACCAACAACCTTTGTGCCGAGCAGCGCGTAAGGTCATTATTCTTACCATTAAACGACGGAAATACGTCAGAGAACACCGTTTCCGGTACGGTTTTGTCATGACTTGTGTTTGAAAGTCGATCTGTTGGTTCTCGTGTTCTCGGTGCATCGTACCTGTTTTTTCCCCTCTGTATCACATTAGTCAGCTCATGGGAATGGGGGCCGGGAGAAGGAAATGACGTCACAGCAGAGGAAACGCAGCACAATAAGCTCAGTGGCACCGCGACGCTGTGGACATGGAGTCACTGTGGACAATAACAACACATTTTAACACAGGTGGTCAAACAGAAATATATATATATATTTACACAGTTTACACACCGTTGACCAGGTTCTCATGACGTCATGATAAAACAACAACAAACAAGTACATATGGTTTTAACGGGAGGTCTTCAACATGGGGTTCACCACCCTTAAAGGGACAGTGTGATTACAATCACTTACTGATGGAGTAAAACTCACCAACGCAGCTTCTTCCTTCTTCGTTAGTGGACATGTTTTGAAGTAATATAATATATATATTTATAATATATATAAATATATATTATAAATATATGATATATATTTCTAAGAGTTGAGACATGTTACACCAATGAGAAAGTTCCCAAAATTCTACATTTTGTAGAACTTGTCAAAAGATGTACCCACATATATGTACACATAAATACAGTCAACATTTACACATATATACATAAATATATGTACATATAAATACAGTCAAAATTTACACATATATACATAAATATATGTACATATAAAATGTACACACATTTGTGTACATTTTCACTGTACGTATGTGTACATACATATCATTCACACTTTTATACACACATATATGAGACACACATATAGTTATAGATATACAGTGTGTATAAATATATCTATACATATATACTGTTGACCCAGGTACACAGACTGGCCGAGTGTATAACGTTATAATAAAAGCTGACAGGAACACGGTGCGTCAGCTCTTAGGAATGGGCCTAACAAACAGGAAGTGAGATCATACAGGAAACGCAGCACAATGCTGCCCCCCCCCCGCCTTTACACTGGGACATCGTGACACACGATTCTGTAGAGGATTTTATTTTCAACAAAAGTACAGCTATAGCAGATATGAATTCATTTTTTTTTTTTTTACAGCGAAATACAACATATTCCCAGTGCGTCTGATTACATCAAAACATATAATACATACAGCTGAAATCTCCACGCTCCCATTCACAGTTTCTGGATTTAATAGGCATTATTTTAAGGTTTTTTCCATTTCTACAACAAATAATAGAACAGAAGGTTCAGCAACAAAAGGAGAAGAGGTCAAAGGTCAGCGGATGTGGACAGAGGACTGGAGATGAAACTGCGAACTGTTCCGTAAAAGGCAAAAATATTTCAAACCTCAAACCAGATGGTATAATACAATGATAGTTACTTCGGAGTGGGACGTCCGTCGTCCGTCCGCCTCGTCGCTCCAAACCACGCTGACAAACGGGGGCGATCGAAAGCTTGAGCTGCACCGACCAATAAGAGACCGACCAATAGGAGACGCATTCCAGACGGATTAAACAGCGGCGGAAGAATTTACCGGAGAAAAGAAACAGGAAACAAAAAGAAACAGGATTCCAACCAGGTGTGTGTGTGTGTGTGTGTTCTGTCGTTGTAATGACCGTAAAGAAGGAAAAAAACAAACAAACAATTGCACACAGCGATGTACTTGCAGTATTAGGTACAACTAAATATTTGTATATAAATATAAAACCCATATATACATCATTTGAACAACGCGGCCAAAACCAATTCATAATACTGCATTCAATAAATACAAGGTATTAATTAATAACGTTGTTTTTTTTTTTTTATAAATTCATTATATGCCAAAAGAAAAAAAAAAAAAACATGACATGAAGTGCACTGCCTCTGCGTGTGTGTGTGTGTGTGTTTTCATCCCAGTCCCGAGGAATTCAACGTTGATTCATTATCTGGATCACAAATCTTTGGAAACACTGAACAATTTTCCTGTTTGTTTGTTTGTCTGTTTTTTTAATTTTTTTTTTTTTACCCGTTTTGGCCTCAGCAGTGTCAGGCGTCAGTAACCAGCAGCGTGGACCGCGACAAAGAGAGTAAAGAAGGACTCGTCACACCTGCCCGTTCACTCAACACTTCGCTCTTTGACTCCACTATAAATAAAAAAACTACGACATG